TCCCAGTCGCCTGATGCATTACTAGACACGCATTCCCACTCTCCAGGCACTCTGCCATAGAAGCATCCAATGGGTCAGAGCAACGGCAAGCCCGTCGTCTTTACCGACCAAGGTGCGTGCCATGATCTGGCTGAAGAGAAGGGCGTCGAAGAGCATCCATGGACCACCAAGACTAACACCATCAGTAAACCTCAACCACTTCCGGCTGCTGCGAGTCGTCGGCAAGGGCGCATTCGGCAAGGTGCGCATTGTCGAGCGCAAAGACACGGGTCTCACCTTTGCGCTCAAGTACATACGCAAAGATGAAGGTTCGTCTCCATGCCCTGTGCACCCTCCCAGCACTCCTCGAGCTGACGTCGTGTCACAGTCGTACGCTCGGAAAGCGTCCGCAACATCATTCGCGAGCGGCGCATGCTCGAGCACCTGAACCATCCCTTCCTCTGCAACTTGCGCTACAGCTTCCAGGACATTGAATACCTGTACGTCATACCTCCCAGCGATGAGTTAGCACGCGGCTGACAAGGGCAGATATATCGTGGTCGATCTAATGAATGGCGGTGACCTGCGCTTCCACATCTCGCGAAAGACATTCACAGAGGAGGCTGTGCGCTTCTGGATAGCCCAGCTAGGCTGCGCTGTGCGCTACATCCACCAGCAGGGCATCGTACACAGGGACATCAAGCCAGACAACGTGCTGTTGGATTCCGAAGGCCATGTCCATCTGGCAGATTTCGTAAGCTCGCTCCTCATCATGTCTCCGGCCATCACTAACATGCCCAGAATGTCGCTTCCGACTTTGTCCCCACCAAGCCGCTGACGAGCAAGTCCGGCACGCTCGCCTATCTCGCGCCCGAGGTCTACGAAGGCAAAGGATACTCATGCGAAGTCGACTGGTGGTCACTGGGCGTGCTCTTCTACGAGTGCATCTACAACAAGCGACCCTTCGAGGCTAGCAGCCATGACTCCCTCGCGGCAAAGATCTCCAAGGGAGAGCCCACATACCCCGTTACCAGTCCCCCCGTATCCATGCCCTGTCTACATGCCATCAGCTCGCTCTTGGAGAAGAACAGGACAAAGCGCATAGGCGCCATCGGATTCGAGTCCTTCACTGACAATCCCTTCTTCCGTCCCATCGATTTCATCGCGTTAGAGCGCAAAGAGATCCCGCCCGTCTTTATCCCGTCGAGCGACAAGACCAACTTCGATGCCACCTACGACCTGGAGGAGCTGTTGTTGGAAGAAGCACCGCTTGAGGCAAGAGCGCGGAGACAGAAGCCTAGAGAGGCGCTCAAGGACGATGCGACCGAGCAGGAGATCAGGGCTGAAGAGCTGCACAGGATGATTGAGACCCTCTTCGAGCCCTTCAACTACACCACTGCTGGTGACCAACGAACGCCTGCCGCGGTCGCAGTCGTAGATCCCCAAGATTCCGTCGGCGGCTCAAGGACGAGCAACCAAAGCGCACCGGACCAACCTACCACACCGTCAGTAGATCCCTGGGGTCGCCCAGTTGCGAACAATCCCCAAGACGCAGAACTCCATCCCACACGCTCCGCCGCCACTGGCCGATCGACGCAATCTCCCAACGGCAGCCCTCCCCTTGCAACCAACATACTGAACCAGACCGCCAACACCGGCTCACCCACCTCGCAACGCGGCGAGCACGTCGACTACTTCCCCAACGACGGCTCCGAAGTCCCCACTCCCTCCTTCTCTCGCCCGATGAACAACCGCCAGCGAGGCTCGCAACGCAGCATCAGCACCAGCGGAGGCGTACAGGTAGTTCTCAACGAGACCGGTTCTTGGACTGAGATGGCTAACCAAAGTTCCGCCCTCGTACAGAAAGATGCCCAAGCTGAGAAACCCTCCGGAATGCTCGGCTTCCTCAGTCGCAAAAAGGGCCGGGACAGGAGTCCCAAGGCGAAAGAGAGGGGTGTGCTGGGGAAAGAAGGCGCCAGAGTCATCATCAGCAATACTTGAGATGCCTGCTCTCTTTTCCTCACCTTTTTCCGCCTGCCACGCCTTCTTTCACGTCACGCCCCACACAAAACGCCCTTTCTTCCAACGAGTTCCCTTGCCGTAGATGATGTCTTCCCAGGAGACTTTTTTTCCCGAGGCCGATTTCTTCTCTCCTGCCTGGCGTTTTCTGGCGTGTTGTCTTGGACTTCATACATGCCAGTCCCTCCTACATCTTCAGCGACGACGCTTCGAACATCGTGGTTGTCGCTTCCTCTCCTTATCCGACCGCATCGAAGTTGCATAGTTCCACCACCCTGAGAAAAAAGAGGTGTGCGCGAAACGGGCGTTGTAGGCAATTGTTATTTTTCCATCAGAGAGACCGCGGGGACACATGGGGCAGCTGTTGCCCCGTAAGCACAACGAACGAAGAACGAGATTAGGGTATAGATTGAGGAAGGCAAGAGAAGAGAAGGGACAGATGAGGCGTCGGCTTTTCCACTTCCCCTGAAGAGGAAAGTCGCGCTGTTGTACATTTGAATGTGTGGGTATAGGGATGTCGGGATGCTGGATGCATGGGCTATGGGCAACGCTATGTGCCGCCGCTGCTGTCACCGCTATGAGATCTTATGAGTGGAGGTTATGCTGGGGATGGATGTTGTATTCGATAATTGTGCGCGAAACGTTAAATACCCATATTCCTACTCTTCATATGCGCTTTCTCTGTATCATATTGTTCAATTGTTATGCTGGCTAATGGATAACAGACTGGAATAGGTTCTTGCTCTTCTCATTATTAGATTCGTGTCGTGGAAGGTTGTCTCATTCTTCCTTGACTTCACATTCCTCGCGTTCTACCACATTCCCCTTTCCAATCTGTTTACGACACCGCTTCACGTGTCTGTTGAAGTTGTCTTTGCGTCGGAAGATCTTGGTGGGCATCGAGCAGCCGGGGATTGTACATTGGTACATCTTTTCGCTGCCGAGGAATTGTTGGTGCACGTTCTTCTTATGACGTTTCAGGTCTGCTGCTAGGCCGAAGGACATGCTGTTGCATATATTGCATGTGTTGCGGAGGTTATGTGTACAGTTATGGTGGTTTCTGAAAGGAGGTCAGAGTTCATGCTCTGTAGTTGTGAGGGCATATGTTGCCTTCGTAGACCTGGTGTGCAGAATGTCCTGGGACAATCTGGACATGTATAAAGTAGCCTTGTCTCATCTTCGATGGTGATTGGTGCTGAGGCTGAACCGCATGACGATGTAAAGAGGCGTTGCTGAAAGTAAAGGTATACTTAAGACAACGACAGCCATCAGCACGGCGGCGGAGCACATGGGGAACAAAAAGAGAGAGAGAAATTCGTCAATACATGCTCGCATGATTCTGGGTCGGTAACACTAGGTTTACTGTGTCAGAAGGGCGGTAGATGAGACAGTACTCTGCGGCGAGGAGATTGAGAATCCTAGTGCAAGAGTGTTCACACAATCGGCGGCATACTGATATCAGTCGGCACGGGATCCCGCCCAATCATGACTGCAGGTGGCTTCCAGCCTCCCCACGAGCCTTTCTATAAGTTGTTCATGTGTCGACATGTCAACTAGAAAACATCACTCCATATCTAAGCTCGTTATTTTCCTTTCCTACTTCCCCTATCCACACCCGACGCCCTTGCCTCACAACTCTTACCATACCTTGTAAAAATTTCCTTCAGCTTCCACTCCTCGTTTTGCTTTTAGCATCTAGCTAAGCTCTAGCTGTACGAAATGCATGTGAGACATATACTAACTTCATACTTCTACCTCTGGAGGCAAAGTACACCAAGAGCGCTTGTTGGACCGAACAGGCTCTTTGCGCTGTGTGTTCGTGGCGTTCGAGATCGGCGCGTACCCCAAGGACGCAGGCAAACATCGCAAATATAGCGTAGGTTATGTCGGCGGTCATAGCGTTTTCTTTGAATAGTTTAGTGTGAATCTGATGGAATTGGGAGGACAATACGCCCGTTTACTAGCCTAGGAATTTTTGACGGTTTTGCCGACCATCTCGGCAGAACAGATACTGAGGAATCCCTCCAATCCGGCCCCTCATCCACTCCCAGATCCGGACCCACATGCCAGTCCGCATCCCAATCCGTTTTTCTTTCCGCATCCCAATCCATGATCCTATCCCCATCCCAATCTATGCTCCCATCCGCGTTTCCATCGAGGCAGATCATGCTTTCGAGATCTGAGATCTGAGGCGCTTCAGTCGTGAGGATAATTCGACGAAAGCAATACTTGAGTTCTTCTTCTGTAACAGTATACCTTGATGGACCCTCTGAGAGAACTTCCGAAGGGTTATTGCTTGTTGTTCTATCTTCCGCGCTGTCCTCATCGTCGAGATCAACGATTCTCTGGTAGGTCACTTGACAACTTGGACTATCTATCATCAGCCGAGTCAAATTTTGTTGACATTGGAGAACTCGCCAAAATATAGCCTGGCCCTCCAAGGGTTGGTTTAAACCGTCCCACCTGGGATGAATCAATCTATTCCACCAAGATTCCATCGCCGAGGCGATGCTCATCATCCCACAGTGTGGACAACTCGTTGGCGTTTCTATATCGTCACGAAATTTGATGCTCATATACCTCTGCTCACCAGGTTTCACAATAGATTTCCAAGGCCGGCGCAGGTCTAATTTACGCCGAGATTGATCTTGAAGCAGGAACTCGCCTCTCCGAATTTTGGCATATCCCTTCTCTTTGAACCTATCCTCAAGCACCTCCCAGGCTCTTCTTGCCATAAGCTCACGGAAGGACTATCGCATATAAGTGGACTAGATAGTTTAATGAGTACATAAGGAGTTGACTTACACTCAAAGAGGATATCCAGTCAAGACTGAAGGCGAAGCATTGATCGAAGCCGTCGAACAGAATTACCGGGTTTTGTAAGAGCACTTGCGGCGGAATGCTTTGCTGCAAAAATTGGCAGCGTGTTGTGTTTTGCTCTATGATGGGGTCTTGTTGCTCTTGCATTTGATGATCCTCGGGTCCTTGGGTTCCGCGTCCGACTAGTACCCCGTTTCTTGGAAAAGGTGATGCCGGAAACCCTGTAATCATACTGTCAGCTGTGTATAACCCGCGGAGGATGCAACGCTGTGCAAATGATAAGACGCACCAAAAAGATCAAGGGGCCTTCCCGTTTCCTGGCTTGCCAGTCGCCTCTCTATCTCCTCTCGTAGTCTTAGAGTCGCGTATTTCTCTCCTTCTCCATATATAAGCGGTAAGAATACCCCGAAGATGCCTAGCAAACAGTATACTCTATCTTCCTTCAACGTCGTTGTGCGTTGGCTCGCCCAGCTTGTCCGCTCCACAATGCTGAACTCAGCAAGACTTTTGCCCCTCAAAGCTTCAGTAGCAATCTTAGTAATCTTATGAATTTCCTGTTCCAAGGATATCCTGCTACCTAACCGCTTTCCGTTCTTGGAAAAGAACTCAACGCATGGCGGTGCTAGCAGCTCTTGCAACGTCCAGCCCCGAGTAAACCATCGGCTGCGTCGAAAAGCTTCCGCCCAGGTTATTGGAAAGGCCTTAGCGTCAGTAACCTCCTCTGGTACCACAACATCTGTTAGGTATACGTAACACTTGGATGCACGCTGGTACCAACGGAACATAGAATTGATGGCTGTACTGAGCTCAACACCAGCAGACTTGTCAATGCAGCAGGTATCGACCCAGAAGTATTGGAGGCCATCCGCTGCTGCTTGTTTACCACAAAAACGGATCTTGTCGTAGCCACTCTTTTCCTGGCCGGCACCTTCGACTAGCTCCTTGTATGTGACCTCTTGATCATCGATCCAGGTGTGGGATAGGATGGCATACGGGGGAAGGCTTTCATCGTTGAAAGACACTAGCTTGAAGTCTCCGTTGAGTGAGCGTTCTAAGAGGCGCATCACGGCGCCTGCGTATCTGCCCACGACACGCACGTCGGGACGAGTTTGATGGCGACGAAAGTGTAGCGTCAGGGAGAGCTTAGAAATGTAGAGTAAGAGTTTTTCATCCGACCTGTCAGAGTAGGTGCACTAACGGAATGCGTCAAGCAGCCGGTAGCCTGGCAGTCGATGGGCGCTCAGAGATTCTGTATCGGTGTTCAGTTGCAAGGTATTTGTGCGCGCGGTTGGCTCTCAGCAGCACGCGCGTGCATGTCCGCAAGAACTTGTCTTGTCCGTCTGCCTAGCTGTGTATCTCGCGTGGGAGAACGACGCGCCCGGTAGGAAGATAGACAGGTTCGTGCTGCTTGGTGAATGAGTTTGAGGGTGCGTCTTCAACGGGACCGAGTGAATTCTCGAAGCCTAGCGTTGTGGTATCAGCGATCAGCTATACTGCAACTAAGCGCTTCCGAACCTGGCGGCCTTATAACGTACCTGGCGCGATGTGCGAATCAACAGAGCCGTTGATGGTGTGAGTGTGGATGCAATAGTCGTGCTACCGAAAGTTGCGGTCGATGTCGTAGAACCCAGCGCATCGCCGTTGTAGCACTCGCAGCATCGAAGAGATGTGTGTGGTGATGGAGTCTGCCGCGCATGGTCTGTTAGATCTCAGCCTGACGGCCTTCGCCTTGCGGCCTGCAGCCTGCAGCCTAGCGATTCCAATCAGATCATTCTACTCGCTTGCACCGCCACTTTCGGGCACAGCTTTCATCTAACACATTATTACATGCGTTGTTCTGTAGTTTCTCGAATTCCTTTGGGGGTGTCATTTGCGTCGATACCACTAGTTGGTTTGCGAATATGTCACGATCTCACAGCTCAGCAACGTCCAAAATAGATGTCGCCGTTCATGTTTCCAGCCTGGATGATATGCCTGCTATGTCAGAAGATGATGGGCCATGTATATATAATGCATTGAGGTGAGGGTCGAACGAAATCAAAATGTACCATTCTGCTTTCATCTTGGTTTCAGTGTACCAGTTCTACGAAGCGCAGTCCATATCTAAAGCTCGTGCTTTCCCTTTCCCACTTCCCCTATCAGCTCCCGTCACTTTCGCCGCTCTCGCCTCACAGCTCCTTACATGTCTCATAAAATTGTCCTTGCGTGGCCACTCCAGATTCGGCGTCTTACAGCCAGGAACCGTACACCAGAATCGCTTGTTGGACCGGAATAAGTCTACATGCACTGTATGTTCATGGCGTTCGAGGTCGGCTCGCACTCCGAAAGGACGGAAGCAGATGTCGCAGACGAAGCGGAGATTGTGTTGGCGATTGTAGTGTTTCCTGCAGGGATAGAGTTAGTATGGGTTTGGCTAATCATTGAAGGTATCTTGAGGTGAAGCAGGCAGGGAGAGTACGTACTTTTGCTGGCCTGGGGTGTTGAATACCTGCCCACAGTCTCGGCAGATGGGTTTGTTGTCTGACGGGGTAAATGGCGTCGCGGGGGAGTCGGCTCCTATAGACGGTGTTGTGATAGCTGTTGAACCTGGTGAGGGGACCTGTGTGGCTGTGGACGCGAAACTCAAGTATGTCATTGCAGAATCAGGCGTTGACTTGCTGGACTGCGGACTTGCTGTGACATTCGCGGTCCGTGGTGACGACGTTTTGGGCATTAACGCGCGTTGATGGTGACGCCGTCTTTGTCTTGAACGATCGGTATTCGTGCGGTCGTGGTTGTCGAATGGCTCGGTCTTTGCGCTGTTGATCTCTAACCGGCTTAGTTCGCGGCCTGCTTCTCTCTTGCGTGGTGCCAGATTGGGGGTGGATGCTAAAACAAATGCTGGAACAGGGTCTTCTGCTTGTTGGTCGGGGCTATATCTAGAGACCACATCAAATACCGGTTCCCGATGGATACTGGGACTTCTTGCACCGTCAATTTGCATTTCTATCTCATCGTCTGGATGAGCTTGTGCGAGATCACGACTTAGCGGCGACGTGACATCTCCTTGTGTGGTATTGATGAACGTCTTGTTACCATCAGGCGTTGGGTGGCGCATACTGAGCTCATTGGGATCAGCCATTTCGGTCTCTGGTAGAGGCAGATCAAAATCAAACTTGACGTGATCGCCGAGCGTTTGCACCTCAGTATTCGGAGAAAGCGCCTCGATAGATGAAGTCGCCTCGGTGAGTAAAGCCGCGTCTGGTTTGTTCGCTGGCCCCGGAGGTGGTGTTGGAAAAATCACGGGGTTTGGACCAAACTCGACTTCATATGGATCAACATAAGCTTGTTCAGGCTGTTGATTCTGCGGTATGCCCGATCTTTCGCTATTCCAAATACTTGCAGGAGCAATGTATAGGCTTGGTCGGGCTGCATGTATCTTATCAGCGGACGCAGTAGAGTAGCTAGGGCCAAACTTACCTCCGTAAATTGACAATGGTTCCAAGGCAGCCCTTGTGTTGATACCAAGTATCCGCTCGATGGCACTACGCTTTTCAGACTTTGAAGAGTCAAGTGTCGTTGAAAGCGTCGGCTGAGACGCCGAAGTATTATATAGGGCTGGGTGTTGGCACCTCAGTGATTCCGAGTAATCAGGTGGTAGGGCAGCCTTAGTGTCTACTAATCTTGGGGCTGCAGGTAGCTCGTGTACGTCGGGCTCAAACTCGGGTGTGTGCTCAAACGTGGGCTCAGACACGATCGAGTTACATTTGAGTTCGTGTCGGACAGTTGTTGATTCAAGCTCGGGCAAGCTTGGCTTCGTCCTCCTCCCCCTTATTCTCCTCCACCAGAATAGCCAGCATGTTGCTCCAATAGCGACGGCAAAGCAAGTGACCAAGACAGTGACGCCAATTACGATTGAAGGGGCGTTGGCCGCAGGTAAGGCTCTTTTGCTCCGAGAAGGCGCGTCATGCAGAATTGCGGAGCGGACAGCGAAGGCGATGGGGGCCATGTCGTCTGTGTAAGGATACTCAACAATGAAACAGATATTCCGGGGCGGCCAGAGACAGACCATGTCATAATTATAAAGTATGTGGATAGACCATGAGGCTGAGTGAGGCATACCCATACTGCTGGGTTGGAGCCAATCACAGGTGCAGGTCGCACCAACTCGAAGGACCCCATCTTGCACATCATGCAGATGCAGATTGCCCTCATGAAGTCAGGATAGATGATATCTCTCCTGTCTTCTATTGGCACACATCGTGAGAGGCGACATATGCACGTCTCCGCTTTGAACGGTTGCCCTATGATATAGTTCCGGAGACGCGCAATGCCTAAGTATAGCCATATTAATGGCACTCGCCAAAGTGGGCGAGTATGTTCACTGTTACGCCTCTGATAGAGCATTAGACTGTGATTGATTCAAATTTGAGTCCTTCAACTACACTCGGTATGCCTCATCAGATCGGATGCGGGTCTTGTTCGGTACTCGACTCGTAGTTCTCGGTGCAAATGTCGCCCTTATGACTTTCCAAACTCAAATTCTCGTTGGATTCGCTGTAGCGATGGTCCTCTCACAACGCTGCACATGTCGTGTGAAGTTATCTTTCCGGGCGTATGTCTTTCCCGGAGTCGTACACTCAATGTTTGGGCATCGAAATAGTTTCGTGGGAGTGACGTGCGTATCATATCGGTGGACGTTATTTTCGTGCCGTTGGAGGTCCGCTCGTAACCCGAACCTTGAGCTGCAAATTGTGCAAGGGTATCGGAGGTTGTGTTTACGATTCTGATGGTTTCTGACAAGACTCTTGTTAGCATGGATGTCACGATTGCTTGTGCATCTAGACCACGTACCTCCTCAAGCCTGGTGTTCGAAAGCTAACGTGGCATAGAGGGCATGGGAACGTTGCATCAGTGCTTATCACGGTTGATCTCGAGGGAGACACTAAAGGCTTCGCTGGCGACGACACGTTGGGCAGTAATGGAAGTGGTAATACTTGCGAAGCAAGATCCATCGCGCCGCGGTCCGTCCAGACATGGGAATCAAATGACAATGTGACTGTGATGTCATTATCGAAGTCTTTCGAGGACTGATTCACTGGTGTAATCGCAGCGAAGTCGATGAGTTCGATCGTTCCAAGCTTGTCTAAGCACCGTTCTTTACCTTTGAACAGCGAGAATTCTCCAGAAGTTGCTGTGACAGGTGATATTGATTCGACTGAGAGCTCCGATGTACTAGAGCCCAGCGAAAGTATCGTATCATCCGAAGATCCAGTCATGTTGGGATGAAGTGTCAATAAGGTGCCGCCTGGATCGAGTATTGTAGGAGTTGCGCATTGGGCCGGGGGATCGTTGAGGCTGATCACATGTGAGGCACTCATCCCAATACAGTCCCCTGGCGTTGACAGCATCTCTGAACTTGGAGCGCATGCTGTGCTATCGTCGATATTCTGTGCCGGTGTGACTTCTACTGAAGATGACAAGTGAGAGAATATAACCGGGTTGGGCTGGTGCTCCACATCCCACGGATTGACACAGCCAGCATTATCAAGATCACACCTCCGGAAGGTAGACTGTTCTGTACCTTCGCCTTCCGCAGTCTTTATTACGATCGCGCGGCTTGGCCTCGGTCTGACAAAGGCGAAGTAATCAACAGTATCTTCACCATCGGATTGTGGCGAGTGCAAATCCGCTGACGTGCTTTCTGACGCACAATGATTGTGGGTGAATCTATCAGGCCTGAAGTCCTGAAGCCAGGCTTTAGAGCATTCAGTTGATTGTAGAGTCTGGGGTGAATCTCCAGTTCCGAGGAATGGCGTTTTAGAGCCAGACGCTACACTTGCTGGAGCTGCGGTCAGCCATGGTGCTTTACCTATAGTTATGTCAGTCTCACTTTCCTAAGCTCAGCCAGATGTTTGGAGCACTTACGACCATGCGACGTTATTTCGTTCAAGTACGAAGCATCGTCGGTGCCAAGAATGCGCTTCGCATCTACCACGACTGGTTTCACATCCTCGGTAGATGTCTGGCGTGTTGGTGTGCACGTTTCGTAATTTTGTTGAGCAATCATGAATGATGACCCTAG